ATAGAGGTTGCGAATATGAAAGGATATGCCCAAGATGTAGACAGGTAGGGCACAGACCGAAGGACTGTCAAAACCAGCCTGCTCCAAAATCATATGCAAATATTGTTAGTAACCACAATGTCAACGTAAATGAAGCTGACCATGAAGAAATTCAGGGAAACGTTAGCATTGCATTACAGCAAATAAGAAATGAACAAGAGAAACAAACAGAACAGGAAAAACACAGATAAAGAGATTGGACAGGCAACGGTGACAAACAACCAAACAACCGAGTTTCTGAAAACGCTATAAGAGACCAACGTCACAGCAGTGACCCCTATACCGAAAGAGATGGAAATGGAAGAGCCGAAAATCCAAAAGGAAAGGGCAAAAGAATGGGAGCACTATCTCAGTCCATACCTCACGGGTATTACCAACACGTCTAATTTTAGCACTATCTCTGTCCAAACCTCACGGGAAATGCCAACACGTCTGATTTGGACCTCCTAAAGATGAACAAATACTTTCTACTATCGGAAGACGAGCAAGAGATCACCAAAGCAGACGTCTCGGAAAATGAAATGCTTAAGGACTTAATTGGAATAAAACCATTGTCCTCAACTCCAGTGCCTAAAGCTAGAACCAAAACGATGAAGAGAAAAATGACCCTATCATTGTCAGTATCGTCTTCCAATAACATTGAACGAGCAATGCCAGGAGAGACAATATCATCAGAAAAGAAAAGGAAAAAGAAGAAAGAGGACATTAAAAAAGACAATGAAACAAACGAACAAATTGACTCGGAAACGGACAAGGAAACGGACATGGAAACGGACAATGGAAAGAACGAAGAAACTGATCTTGACAAACCAAACCAAGCAACAGCCAAAAAAAAAACTAACACAAATGTTGATGGCACTGACAATCTAACACCAACGAACATACATACATACATACATACATACATACACATACACAAGTTCGTACGTATATAACTGTAGGTGCAATGTCTTCGAAGTACTTTGTACTTAAAGGATGGTTTTTAAAAACGGTGTTATTGATCGCATACTGGGTGTAAATTGTTCCAACATTTTTGGATGTTGATACTTCACCATGAAGTGGGTATGGTACAGTGGAAAAGTTTACATTCAGTTGTGAAGGTTGATAATTCTCCATGGAGTGGGTATAGTATGGTGTAATGGTTTACATACAGCTCAAAAAAGGTTTGATTAATCTGCAGGTGTTACTTTTCATACGATTTTCCTCACAGGTCAGAGTCATTAGAGAGAATCTGGCCCTTGGGTCATATTTCCGAGCACATCATATCTTAGGCGATCTTGACCCTTTGATCATGCTGAAACAGTTTAGCAAATCATCGGCGGAAAGACAGATAGATGGCATACAAAAATACACACACACACACACACACACACACACACACACACACACACACACACACACACGCCACACATCGTCCAAAATTCGGTCGAAGTGTCTCGTCTTATGGAATCGATTCTTGAAAGAGTATAAAGAGTATTTGGTAATCCACTAAGTCTTGATCAGTCATTGATTACATTCCATATGTGTCTGCCATATTCTTTCCCAAAAATCAGTGTTATTTAACTGTGAAAATAACAATAGTTTAAAAATTGAAAAAATATTTTGAATTTGCATTTCACCTGAATCTCGACAAACTCTCATTAAATGCAGTTTCAAAGCTCCAATGATAAACTATGAGTCATCTCCACTTTCAATGTACCCGACATCCATAAATGACGTCACGCGATTTGGCCCAACTTTACCACCACCACCCTTCGTCACATGTAATCATAAAAAGTCAGATTCCCTCAAATATGACATCAAAAGCTCTGCTCCCCTCCAAAAAAAGCAGTATTTCCTATTTGAAAATTAACACGTTTAAAATCACTTTATAGTCATTGTAGCATGCATTTACTTTAGCGCTGCACTATGATAAAGTAGGAGAAAACACGTATTAAAAAAGGAGACACTGGAAAGCTGGAATTGGCATAAAATTATTTTCAAAATATTCGTCGTCTAGCTAAAACTGCAGAATAAGTTCGGCGAGAACAAGAGTAGCGGACTGGAAATGGAAGAATGCTATTTGGAATAATCCACTATTGGGACTAGTAGGGGTGCTGGTAGTGGAAAGAATCTGAGCTCATGCACAATACGCGTGAAGTTACTTAAAACGTCATTACATAAATTGTAAGCAATCAAAAAATTAAGAATGATATTAGGTGAAAATTTTATTTAAAGTTGCGCATTTTGACGTGACGTCACATTTATTACACATCTCCTTATACTCGTCACACGTCGTCACAAATGTGTGACCCACCCTTCCCCCCAGGTGCGTGACATCATTTGTTAGCGACGGCACTCAGACCATCTGAAGTGTTCAAGGTAAGCGGTATCTATATATTACCATATGTAATCTTTTACACCACAGCTGAAACACTGCACTTCATAATCTTCCATTTTTCCATGTTTTCTAGGAAAATAAATTATATTTGTTAAAACGTTCAAAGCTTGTTGTCTTCACTCTTTCTTTGTTACTAACGTCCACAGAAGCATTCTTTTCACTATAGGCACTGTTCACAGGAAGATGAATCACTTTGGAAGATCACATTGTCTCTTGAAAGTAAATTAGATTTGTATCATGCAATCCAACAAGAAGGCCTAAAGACTTTCACATACATCGTATAGGGAAAAGAATCAGGACTAGAAACGGAAGATTACACTAATCACCTTATAAAGGGTAATGTTACGTATATGTATATTGTATGTTTAATTTTTCTCCATGATTGCAGATTGTACTGATCATTTATAAATAACATATTACATAGCTAATATGTGTTCATGAATATAGATATATTTAAAGATAATAATCATTTCTAAGTTATAAATAGGTTGTTAGCTATTTATAGGTTGTTTACTTGAACATGACCTTAGAAGTTTCTAGAAAATAAACCTGTTCATAAAAATTGTCCGTTTTGATGATTGAGTCACGTAGGCTAAATTGCGACATAAGTCAGGTGGTGATTTATTGCGACACAAAATCGTGATGATGGAAATAAGGAAGAAGTAACAATTATTCTTTCCTATTCCATTCCTATTCCTATTTTAGTTTTAGTCTGCAGAAGTATGTACTGTCGTGTTTAGATTTAATTTGAGTTAAATCATGTATTTAAATTATTTATTTAAATTACAAAATGTTCATTTACCTTTTGGACTAAAACACTTTTTTTAGGATTATTGTGAATTCATTCTAAAACATTTTAGATTAAATCATTGTGATGCATCAAGACTATTGGCACTTCAGCACATTCAGTGATATTGGTATATCAGCACCTTCACAACCTGGAATTCATTCGGAGCACTGTATTATTTTGCACTTTTGATAAAATGTTTACGACTATCTGGGATCTATTTTACAATCCTGTAAGATCCTCTTAAAGATTCATTTTTTAACTTAGATAATTAAATTATTTGTTTAATTTTACTAAAATTCTGGGTTTTGCTCTTTCTTATACTTAGTTTAGGAACATATATACGTAACAGTTTTATATTTTCTTTCGGTCATGGATGGAGGTGAGAAGGTTAAAGATGCAATCCTGGCAACTATAAAAGGTAAACTTAGACAGAAACCATCTGAATTTGCAAAGACACGATCTTGTACTGATGGTCAATTTTTGTTTTTATGCACATAATGGTGCTCAACTGCACACGGCCGCATTACAGAAAGACCGATGATGACAATAACACTATTTTGAAGTATTTTCTGGTTTATCTACCATATTTAATCATTTTTGTTAAACTTCTTTATAATAGAACTTCTACACGTATTTGCATAATTAATGAGTTATAAAGTAAAATTGTATTTTAAAAAAAGTGAGGCCCAGTGCAAAATCTTCGCGCAAAATATTGAAGCATAGAGGTAGGTAACTATTGCTGAAGAGAGATTCAGTTATAATGTTGCACTGGTTTATGCATAAACATGTCAGATAAATAACACTGTGTGCAAAAATGTACCAAAAGATTCTTCTCAAATTGCTAAGAAAAAAAAAAACGTGTGTACTGGTTCATTATGCATATCTTTAGAATCTAAACCTACATTGTAATAGAGTGGAAATTGTTTAACAGTCATTATGTACTGTTTTGTTTAAAAATAACACAGACGCCTTAATTAAATGACATCAAATAATAATAGAGAACCCATAGCTGATACAAAGCCCACAGAACACGAATGGTGACACGTGGTGTCGTGTTCGTATAATGTACACATTTTCAAGCAAACTTCTCGATTACATATAGGAACAAAATTGTCTAAGTAGCGATTTTAACTGTCATCACAATCATAATGACGTCGCCTGCTTTAAAGGTGTCGAACGTGGTATACTATAAGGACCGCCAAGCCATTTTTTTTTTTTTTTTTGTAGATTGCCGGCCGCATTGGCTAACCTGTGTAAAGTTTTGGACACTTTCAACGATCTTTCTGACTTAATGATAAATTTTAATTCATTGTATTGCCTTCTGATCATAATACTAAATTAGTAGTTCCTGAGTCAGACAAATATAAATTTCCGAAGATAAAGTAAATCCCCCATAAATAAGCGAGGTAAATATAGTATAAATGCCAAACAGTTCTAGACACGGAATTTATTAGGATTTCTCCGAATCAAAAAACTGCTGAAAAACAGAGATCACATGTAATTATTTCAATGTAAAACAAAAACAAATAAATAATCAAACACGTGAAAAACTTAATTAAATTTGAAAGATTCAGCTCACTAGATATCCGTGGATTTAACATTTGATAACTGTACATTTCAATTATGCTTCCCGTTAAAGTATACAAGGTCATGTAGAATTCATATATTATTATTATTATTATTATTATTATTATTATTATTATTATTATTATTATTATTATTATTATTATTATTATTATTAGTAGTAGTAGTAGTAGTAGTAGTAGTAGTAGTAGTAGTAGTAGTAGTATAGACCGCTCCAGTGGCCTAGTGGTTAGAGCATCCACCTCGGATGTGGAAGGTCGTGGGTTCGAATCCCGGCTGAGTCCTACCAAAGACTTTAAAAATGGTACTAACAGCTGCATCGCTTGGCGTTTGGCACTTAGAGGTTAGTGTTAGGACTGGTCGGCCTGGTGTCAGGATAATGTGACTGGGTGGGATAGACATCACTATAAACTGTCACACGGCAGTCATCGTAGAAATATGACTGAAAAATTGTTAAAGCTACGTTAAACATCTAAATCACACACACAGACACACACACACACACATTATTATTGTATAAATTTATATATAGCCGTAACTTCAGTAACATGTAGATTTATTTTAGAACTGACCGTCCGTGTATCTATCTATCTATCTATCTATCTATCTATCTATCTATCTATCTATCTATCACAAAGGGAAAAAGGCAAAACAAAAATAGTTTATTCTAATGAAATGAAAATTGCATATGTTATTATATTATATAATTCTTCGTCTTGGCGATCCAAAGATCCTCTCACATTGTAATACCTGTAATGAAACATTGAACAGCTTTAAACAGTTGAAATAAGTATGAGATATCTTGTTTATTATACTGGTGGTTACATTTGTACCCTAGGTACAAATCGACTACAGCATTGGGTACGAAACAACCAACATCTTGGGTACGAAAGGACATGGGTATGGAATGACCAGGTTCGGTCGTTTGGGCACCACAGTTGACTTTATAACCAATTCTCTCCATCTTTTTGTTGATGTTAAGTCAAAAGAGAAGTAGTCTGGCGGAAGTACAAATGCGAAGTGTGATACAGAGGAGCCTCGTTAATCCGGACTCTGTTTAACCAGAAACCTAGCTATCCAGACATAATTCAACGGGAACGGAATTCCTAAGTGTTAATTTGCTCCGTTAATCAAGAAATCCACGTTCCGGATCGGGAAATCAAATCGGGGACCACAATAAAAGTTGTCTCGATAATCCGGAAAAAATCTTGGGGGAGGGGGGCAACAGACAGACTTTCTATATTAATGTAAGGAGCTGCATTTCTTTATTTTTGTTTTTCTGCTTCTCCTTACATTTAGGATGTACATATATAAAAGGAGAGACATTGTTAATTTTCTTATTGATTACCCTTTTCCTCATTTGTGTGCATTGTTTGTCCATTTGCTACACATGATTTTTATGGGGCTCTCTCGCAGGTCTGTCCACTTGGGCATTTTGGTTTTTGGTATAGTTTTTATCATATCCGGATATATATCTATCCAAAAATAAGAAAATTCGAAAATCGTATATAAAAATACAGTCAGTTCAATAACACAGATTCACCTACGCAAATTTGGTGGTGTGTCAATGAATCAATCTCTGATTGGTCAAATTCTAGTGGTATGTTGAAGTTATCAATTGTGTAAGGAAAAAAAAAAAGTAGCGTGACCATATTGTAACTTGCGATTGTATAAACAATGTTTGTTTTAGCTAGTCGTCGACGTGTTATTAATAATTAAATAAACACCCTTAGATCAAATCGTCCATGCTTGTAACATAACATAGGATTAATAAATTAAGTGTATCCTGTGTTCAATGTGTTGATTGTTTCAACTTATATTTACTGAAGGAAATTGACATAATAAATGTATGTACAGTACATGCATGTACATGTACATAATATGATGTGTTCATTGTGTTAATTGTTTAAACTTATGTTAAATGTACATGTGAAAAAAACTAAAGTCAATAGATACATTCATTTATTTGAACCATTATTGTATATACAGTATATTTATAGCTAGCATATAGATATACATGTACGCGGTATGATGACACCGTAAACATGTACATGATTAAATTATTGTGAAAATTCATTAATCCGGACATATTCATTTGAAACGAAGGTGTCCGGATTAACGAGGCTCCTCTGTATAATGTATCGACAGACCACAATTAACTCCCATCCACGTTGACCAAAACCAGGAAGATATTCCTGGTGTGTTTCACGGCTGAGTTTTTTTTTTAAATGTTACAAGCTATATTGATAATAAAAGGGTAGACATCAAAATATACAAAATCTGTACTGCGTGCTCTGAAATAAACACAAATACATGTTAAATGTCTCATTAATTGCATGTCATTCAGGCGCATTTGTTTTGTTTTTTTTTACTTTCCCCTGCAAAGTGTGTTTACCGTAAAAATACACAAATACAACCTTATCAACCATTTATGTTAATGTCAGGAATTTATGTACTATGGTGAGTTAGTGATTTGAAAGTATAAAAAAAATTGTATCAGTTATAGTTGCAAAATTACATTAATGAATGTCGATATATAATATAGAAAAATATAATTCTTATGAAATAAGAAGACTAACACGACCCTTAAATCACTAATGTTTAGTTTACTACTAAAGCTACAAACCTGACAACTCTCACGCTTCTTATTGATGTAATTAAAAAGGTTTAGAAAAATTATATTACATGTATTTGATATTTTGAGAAAAATGTAAATTGTTCAAGACTATATTGAACAACTTTTATATTGATAAAATCTTAAATATCTACAGTCAGGTATCATTGTTACGGACGACCGTTTAGGACACTGAAAAAAAAATGATGTCGTTCGAACGAGTCTACAGCTTATTTAAACATACTTTGCAGCTGTGTGAACGACCACAAATCTCGATTAAAGGACGTAATTTAAAAGTCGTCTGAATGAGTCTGGAACTCATTAAAGCTAGTTTTGAAGTCATTTGAAAGACTTTAAATCTTATCTGAGCGACTCTTGAAACTCGTCTCACTCAACGTGTTAACGCAATTTTTATACTGTTTTGAAACTTGTTGAAACGAAATGTTTGAAGACTTTTTTGAATGAGTTATTCACTCCTTTAAACGAGACCGAAATTCGTTTATCGACTTTTAACTCGTTTAAGTATTTTTATTAGTCACTCAAACGCAACATAATGTTCGGAAGAATTCTAAACTCGTTCAGGCTGCTTTTAAACTCGTTCAGCAACTTTTAATTTGTATCCGATTTCTTACATGGACTTCAGATCCGATTTCTTACATGGACTTCAGTAGAAAGGAAGAAGGATTTTTGTTTATCTTTCTTACCTAAATGAGGTACACATGACGCAAATCTATTCGGATACATATTGGTAGACTTAGAAAGAGCAGTAACTAGAAAAGCAATTTATGATACAGTTCATATATTTATGTAAATAAAAAATTATCCAGACCTACGTTCAAACCATTGAAATAAATGCAATGGGAAGGCAAGTTATTTTTGAATGTATATCATGGATTGAGTTTATTCTACACAAAGTAATATTTACATCAGTTTCAACTTGCATCTGAAAAATGAATAAAATATCTACAGTCAGGTATCGTTGTTACGGACGACCGTTTAGGACACTGAAAAAAAAATTGATGTCGTTATATAATAATCATTGCTTTGCAGTACACAAACTATACGTAATGAAGATTAACAGATAGGCATAAACAATTTATTTTGTGTGTATCACATCAAATCAGCTGTGGCAGAGATAAAGATCATATGACAGTCTATAAGCCACTTATGTTTGAATAATTTTCAATTGCTTTTAAAATGAATTATTAATGTAATTTCAAATTTTGTTAGCTTGGACTCAAAACGATTATGTTGCTTACATGTTTAATGTGGATCCAATCCTTATGAAAAGCTATTACACTGAACGATAACAAGAACGGTCATTCTTACCAACCACAACCAGCGTGGTAATAAATTTTGTTCCCTCTTTTGGCACCAAATAGATGCCTTCCCCCTTCCAGCATGGTAATAATTGATACATCAAAATATTTATTTACTTCGGGTGGGGGCACCAGACAGATGCCCCCACCTTAATAAAAAAAGTAAACGTATTTCATGTGTTTTTGTATCCCCTAAGGTATTTTTTAGTAGATGTAGCGGTTTACACCCCTCCCAGTTTTTTTGGGTGGTGGGGGGTGGTGGGGGTGTTTTTCGTTTGGTTATCGTTGTCTAGAGGTGATTGCCGACGTTGTAATTTGCCCGGGACTAGTAAATATAAAAAGAAATTGAGAAAATGTCGGGCGGAATAAATAAAGAACTCAGCTGATATATAGAACAGAATAAACGAGCCCCTTTTACAAAAAAAGAAATTTAATCAAGGTCTCTAACAATACAGTTTAAAATAAAAGTAATAATAGTACAATACGAAAGAAAGATACACTTCTTTCTTTTGACTTAGCTTCTTGCACGAATTTCTGAATACAAGAAATAATAAGACCAATAGCAGATCTGTAACGTGATAGAATTTAAATCATCATTTAGATCGCATTATTATATCAAAGTCACTTCCTTGTACATTTTTGTAACCTGATAGTCTTGTTTCAGTACGAATTTCACCGCGACTGTTCATTTTAACTCCCCTGCGAGTGCAAGTCCGTCCAGGTCTCTTTCACTTTAACTTTCTTTTCCACATTTTCAGGTGCCCGTCCTTTCGCTTCTTTCAACTTTGTTTCCATAAGACTTTATATGTAGAGCGTAAACCTTAGAGTTAACCCGGTCTCTTATTTTGCCAAGCTCTTACTCCCAGAAAAGATCTGTCAATTTTCCCAGACGATTCCTTTCCCTGGATAGTTTTCTACGAGTAAATTTCTTCTAAATTCGCTCAGAGCCTTACTTATGTAAATTCCTCTCGTATGATACAGCGTAGACTAATTTTTAAAATTTCTATTTGCACATTCAAACTGAAGAGTTTTCCGTGTGAAACCACGCCCCCTTCACAGCGTAACCAATTAGAATTACAAAAACAACTCCTCCCAAGCTTCGAAACACTGCAATAAGTCTATCAACAAATGGCTACCAACTGGTTCCTGGTCAATGTCTCAACTGTCAGCTTTATACAAACCATAACTTGAACTCCGTTCCTGTAAGTTTAAATATAATACAAAATAACAAAACACAAATAGGAACTGTATTTTAATAGCACTAGAACAGATTAGATGATACAAAACACTAGGTACTCAAATCTATATTATATCTTTCATCTTAAGAAGTAAGACAAAATTCTGGCGGACA